GGGAGGGTGGAGGGACAGCGCAGGAGGGGAAGACCCTCTATGAGATGGATTGATTAGGTGACTGGGGTAATCGGGATGGGTGTGTCAGAGGCAGTGTGGTTGGCGCAGGATAGATCAGGGTTTAGAGCTGTTGTGCATAGTGTCGCTATGAGTCAGAAACGACTCAATGGCACATAACAACAACAACATGTACCTTATTTGCAGTAATAAATTATCTAACTGTAATAAATTATCTAAAAAAGGCAACTTTTATCACTTTTTTATTTCATGAATCAGGAAGATATTTGGTGACTGTTCAAAGGCACAGAGGTAATTAGAAGCAGAGTTGAACTGATAAACTGGTCCTTCAAATGGAAAAGAACTTGTTTTGAGAAAACTGAGAAACATATTACACTTTGAGCTAAATTTGATGGCCTAAGACAAATCACAGGGAAGTGAGTTATTAGGCATAGCCTCTGGTAGCCCAGTGGTAAGAAGCTGTGCTACACTCCCAAAGGCATGCAGTTCAAATCAATCAGTGGGAGAAGGATGGGCAATCTCCTCCCATTCAATAAACTGCCTCTAAAAACCTACCAAAGGGTCAGATATGAATCAGTTCCAACTTGATGATACACAACAGTATTATACATGACACAGATTAAGGTTATTCTTTAGCCTGGTGCCTCCCATCACACTCACCTGTCCTTTGGAAAAGCCATCAAAGCCATCGTGGATAGCAAGCATTTTGTGGCCATCAGATATTCCCACTCGGACAGCTGCTCGCACAGCAGCGTTCATCCCAGCTGCAGGGGCACCCACGTTTATGACACCCACATTACAATTGCTCTGAAAAACAAAGGGAAGGATATCAGCCGCTCAACACATCTATCCAAGCACACCTCAGCCCCAATCATGGCAAGCACGGGGGTTATAGTGGAGAACCAAAAAGGCTGAAGCTTTATGAAGTTCACATCTGAGTACAGCTTCCAGAAAATTAAACTAAATATCATTTCACACAAAGGCAGTGATTATAATAAAAAGAGTCAGTTAGTGACTTCGGATAAAACCTTTCAAGAGATGACAATGCAGTTGGGAATTGTCATAAGAAGGGAAAAATGTTTTCTGTACTACAGCCAGATGTGACGCATGTCCAACAGGCTCGTGATTAAAAAAACTGGGCTAATGCAGCTGCCCAGCACCCACTCACCTTCACGATCTGCGAATCTGGGAGCTTGATGGAAAGTCGCTTATAGATGTTCAAATTGTTCTCAAAGTTCCTAAAATATAAAGAAGCTTTTAGATGAAAGGCGCCCTGGCATGGTGGTTGTACAAGCATTATCCTATGGCCAAAAGGTCAAGGGTTCAACAAGGCAGTCTGCTTTCATAAAGATTTATGATTGTGGAAATCCTGGGGGCAGCTCTACCCTATCTTAAAATGGCTCTCTGAGAACCCGTCAACTTGGTGCCACTGAGTTTGGGGGGGGGGGTTAGTGAAAGTTTAGCACATTGGACAAAACAAGAGGGTACTCCTCTGAGGACATGGGTGTCAAATAGAATGACAATTCATTAGAAGCAGATGGTCCATGAATGCTCCTTCTGTATACTAACTCTCAGAGAAAACTGGAGAATGGAACATTAAACCACGTTCCACAGGGCTTAGGCGAGGGGGAACCAAACCCAAAACCAGCAACATTATACTGCAGTTCTTAAGTTCAGTTTTCAAGAGTAGAGTTGCATATTATAATCTCAGGATAGTCTGAAAAACCTTTAACGCTGCCCTTCCCCCTAAAATATAAACAAATGTCTATTATTCTTTAACTAACCTCGAGGCCTCCCATTTTGCGGAAACAATACCCAACTTACTATCTTGACTTTTGAATTTTTATATTGAAAGAGAATAGCTATACTTCTAAGCACATTCAGTAAGACCAAAACAGGGGAAGATGGGAAAGTTATGGGGGTACAACACTTAATGTGCTGAGCAAAGGGCTAATGCACTGAAAGGTGGGAGGTTCAAGTCCACCCAAAGGTGTTCTTTGGAAGAAAGGCCTGATAATCTACTTCTAAATATTCAGCCACTAAGCACTTCATGGAGCACAGTCCTCCACTGCCTCACAAAGTGTGTCATGCGGCTACTCAATGGGAATGAGTCACTGGAGCAACACATGTGATAAAATGTTGCTGTTATGTACTGCTGCGTCAGAACCGGCTTGTAGCTAACCCTCCAGCAGGCTTGCAGAGGCAGTACACCACACAGGAGGAGACTGCCCATCTTCTCCGGCGCAGCAGCTGGTGGAATCACACTGCATGTCTTTGGGTTGGCAAAGCAGTTCCTTACCACTGAGCCACCAGAGTTTCCCATGTCATAAAATAGTTTTCTTAAAAATAGTTTACCTTCCTCGAAGTCGTACAGCTTCTTTGAATCTTCTTTCATCCATTGCCTTTTGCACATCTTGGGTCTTTTAAAAAAAAAAAAGAAGAAGAGATTAGGGTAAGGATTAGCACATAGATGAATGATGGGGGGGGCTGAGGAGAAACCCAGGGTCTTTATATTTCTGGGTCCTCCTTCAGAATTAGACTTTGGCCAGTCTGGAAATCTCAGTATTAACGGAGTATAAACTGAGAGCTGACCACTCCGTGCAAATGCTTGCAACTGGCAGCAAGTATCTCGCTGCTCAGGAAAGAGGTAGAAGCCACCAAAAGCTGCTCAGAGCAAATCTAAAGTTAATATTCCCTGCTTTTAAAGCTGAGTAAGGTTATTAAAAACATGCACAGTGCCTATTAAATAGATAGGTGGTGTGTACTCAGTGAAAGTTTCACTATGGCTTTTAATCATAAAATCTCTAAAGGACAAGCTTTTCCATTTCTAAGCTAACAGGGCCACTACATGTAAGACATACATATGTTAAAAATAAGTTTACTGCGTATAAGTCAACATTCCAGTCTCTTAAAGTTCTCTAGCATATACACACACATGTGAGCTTTATTTTCACTTCACAGGCTTTGGGAAATGTTTTCTAAGGTATTTAGTTTTCACCAGTTCCCTCATTCCATAATTACTTCTCTGTGGAGTATATAAAATGGCATATGCTTCGGAGTCACTTGAAAGACCATATGAAGGGGGAGAATCGGGGCAGGGAGAAAAAATGTACAACAAGAAATGAATGGAAATCTAAGTTCTCTATAATCTTTCATTAAAATCTCAATTAAAAAAAGGAAACACCATATAAAACAATGGTCATGAATAACTTTAGAAACTTTGAAATAATGCAAAATATAAAACTTCTTTCTAATGTCACTCCTCTATTTATTATCTGACAGAGTGAACCACCAGAAACTTTCAAATCATTTTTAAGTGCATTTTTACACTCTTGTTGCTACAGAAGTGGGGACATCTCAGGATATCACCTGATTTCACCATTCCAACTGTCACATTACAGATCTGAATATCCTTGAGGACAGGTGGAAAAGAAGTGGCTGACGTTTGGAGCAGCTTATTAAATACTATAAATAGGGTATTTCTCAAGAATTTCCACAGCAAACATTTCCCTATTCCACTGCAGGATTTAGGAAGTAGGGGTCATATAGATACCCTCTGATACAAACACACATCTCTCAGAAGACATTGATGTTTTTTATAGACTCATTTTTAGAGATGTCTACTACTAATAGATGTCACATAGTTGGTAAGATGGAAAAATCAAAACACAAAAAAGAAAATGATCTAGGTTTTCTAAAGGGTGAAAACATAACCTGGTGACCATCACCCAGGAGGTCAGCTAATTCTGTTCTTAGAAATGACCCCCTCAACTCAATGTCCACTTACCCAGTAACAGACGACAGACACAAAAGTTCCCTGACATACTGACTGGTTAGCAACAAGTGAAGCCTGCAGCCTCTGTGTTCCAAGCAGAGCTAACAAGCCAGTCCTCGCTTCCCCACCCCCTCATCTCAGGGCTGCACACTGGACCCACTCACCATTTGCACACACTCCACCAGGGGCAGGCGCACCGAGTAGTTCCCACTCAGAGAAACCACACAGGCCGGGGTCTCTGGGGTCGCTTCAAGGAGCGCGATGACAGCCTCCACACCCATTCGACTAGCCTAGAAAGGAAACATATGATTACTGAAGACAGGGCAACATTCTGAGTAAGACTATTTTCTCTGTTCTAAGAGATTACCCCCCCATGTGCTCCTGCAACAAGCTGCACCCTTGACAGGCTTTGAAAGGCCTTGAAAAGGCTGTTAAGTCTTTGTGTCACATTGTTCAGAGGTTTCGAACTATATTTTAAACGTTTCTATTTTCAACTTTCTATTCTGCTGATCAGAGATTCAATTAGGTACCCTATGCCTTACCATTTACATTTTATATCATGACATGTTAACCTTTAATATTCTGTTGGATTAAATTTGCTTGTGTTTCGTTTAGAATTTTTATGGCTACATCTATCTGGGATAATGATTTTTCGTTTTCTTGTATTACTTTTGTCTCACTTTGCTATCAGGGTACTAATAGCTTCATAAAACTATAAGAAGCATTCCTTCCTATTCTACTTTGAGGAAGAGATCAAATCAACAATGTCTAGAATTCCTGGTGAATACATTCGGCACTAAACTTTTCTTTGTTGGAAGGTATTTTGCTGTTGTTCTTCCTTGCTTTTTTTCTACTTCCCATTCGCTCCTCTGCCTATCTCCCAGTCCTTGCTTTTGTCTGGTTGGAGTTTCCTATACTACATACTCCAAGAAAGTCTCCTATGTCATTTGTTCTTTTAAGTCTGGCTTATTTCATTCAGCATAATGATTTCAAGGTTCACCCCTACATTACTACTACATATCACACCTTTAATTCTCTTTATGGCTGAGTAATATGCCATCGCATGGTTACACCACATATTGCTTATCTATTCATCTGTTGATAGAAAACTAAAATTGTTTCTCCTATGTGGCTTGCTTATCATTTATTTTAACTCATCTCTTGTTATCAAAGAAGAGCATGATGCCAATAGAACTGGTCAAAATGAGGAGCAGAGAGGAAGGTTACAGATTCTTGGAGAAAAGAAAATAATCCCCTTTAAAAGCTGAAATTTTGGACTAACTCTCTGCTGTCCCTTTGCACATGCTTTTGGAAACTTGCTGACATCACCTTGCCACTCAGGGTTCTGCTCTTCCTTGAGGCCACGTCCCCCACAAAAGATGGCACATTAACTTTCCACATTACATGGAGGTTGGTAGTGTCTGAGTGATTTTAGACCCAGGAAGAGTCATAAAGCAGTACATCACATAAGGATGTTTCACATAAAAACAGAAACCATTAGCATCTTCAGGGATGAACCACTCAGATTTACAAACAAGATACTTTCTTGCCAGCTGGCTCTGTTAAATGTCATCAGTCTTGCAACTAAATTGATTTTCCCTGCCTAATTTTCAGAAATTTGAATTCCCTAGAGTGACTTTGTAAAAAATGTTTTGACTTACACACTTACCAAAATCCGATCAAAAGCTGATGGGGTCCCTCCTCTTTGCACGTGTCCAAGTATTGTCACTCGTGTGTCATACCCCAGCTGCTTCACGACTAACTGTAGAAGCAAAGCTTTATTAGGAAAAGCAGAACCATAACAAAGGCAGATCACAGTATACACAGTAAAGGGCAATGAGTATAGAGGGACAATATTGGTCTTTCTTCAGACTCCAATAAAAAAAATGATAATGTTTAAATTTGATTTCCAAAGAAAAATTTTAACAGCTAGCTGAAATGTATTTTTAATAATGCTTTTCATGTCAAATAAGACATTTTCTCCCACACAGCAAATAAATCTAAGTAACATGACTAAGAGAGAAAACTGTTTCCACAGCTTCTATTTGAAGTGTTACTAATACTTTATAAAAATGTAAACATTTCTCAGGAATCACTTGAAATTTTATAGCCGTAATATTAACGGCATAATCTAGAAAATCATGGTCTTTTTCCTCTTTCCTGAGCCCATCTGAACATCAGCTGGCTGGCATGAAATAGCAGCTAGCTTCTTTAACCTTCATTTCACTCTTCTTATAAAAACAGTAAGGTTGAACTGCATTAATTACATGATTCCTTCTTGGTCCAAAATTGCATGGCTTAATCTCAATTTCAATTGACATGGAAAAGAAAATCTCTGTGTCGATTTTGTCTTTAATTTTTATTGATTTGCAAATAATCATTCATATTCAATCATGTTTTGATCATATACTTTGTGTTTTCTACAATCACTCGTATATAGTGTTTCATTCATGTACCTTGGGTTTTAGACATTCAAATGCATTCTGGGGCTTCGTCTGACATAATTTGGACATGTTGTAAGGAGAGACAGCTCTTTGGAGAGGGACATCATGCTGGGCAGAGTGGAGGGACAGCGCAGGAGGGGAAGACCCTCTATGAGGTAGACTGATTCAGTGACTGGGGTAATCGGGATGGGTGTGACAGAGGCAATGCGATTGGCACAGGACAGAGCATGGGGTCGCTATGTGTCGCAAACGACTCGACAGCACATAACAAGAACAACAACAATTATTATTACTCTATGCCTAGTCCCCCTTCATCTTTTCAACTCCCCACTGAACTTCCCCAATCCGACAACCTCCACTCAATCACCAACTGCTGCTTCTCAGTGATTTTTTTTCTCCCTTTCTCATTTTCTGCCCTACCTTCTTCCCTTCTCCTTTTAAACATTTGTACCTATCTTTCATAGTTACTCACCTATTATTACAATAGTGGCCTTATGTAATGATTGTCCTTATGTGACTGAGATATTTCATTCAGCATAATGCTTTCTAGTCGCTCTCATGTTATACTGTATTTTACAAAGTAATTGTTCTTTAGTGTTGCATAGTATTCCAATATGTGAAGGTTATCACAAGTTCTCAATCCATTCCTTTGTTGATGGGCATTTGGGTTGTTTCCATATTCTTGCTATTATGAATAACACTGCTAAGAACATGAGTGTACATGTGTTGATTTTTTAATTAATGCTTGAACAGTCTCTTTTAATACCTTAATTTTAAGTGTTCAGCTGACGATGAAATTGCATAAAATACATTCCCTGTTCAAAAGATAACCATGTCTCACAGTTGGCCCTCCTGGGAGTTTTCCAAAGTTATGAATCTCATGGGGAATGCCTACAATCCTTCTCCCACAGAAAAGTGTATTCGAAATACCAGTGAGGCACCACTTTTGGGGCAGCAGTGCAGCTCCCCTGGAGTTGCCACTGGAGTTCCCTAGCTGACCATAACTAAACATAACAGAGAAACCGATATGCAAAGCTATGGTGAAACTCTTTTGTCCTGTCTTGTAGCTTCACTCTAGGTCTGTTCTGCACTTCAAGTCTCCAAGTGTTTAATGCCTTGATGTCTTTATGTGTTTAGTTTCCTCTGTAACTAACAGCAACTTGGCTGGAGAGCTTAAAAGTCCTGTCTAGACAGGTGTGCACCAATCTAAGCAAGTCCTAAGTAAACAAGACTACTGTTGTCTGTTTCCACTTCTGAACCAAAAGTAAGGCAATGATTTCATTTTGACACAATAGCTTTCTTTGTGGGTAAAAAGATTCTCAGCCGATGCTCTAGGTTAAAAAAAAAAAAAAAGGAAAACATGGCACACACCAGCATTTTCTGTTAGCACAAACAGAGAATCTTGTGGACCGGGAGCTAAATGATTCATCTCTGAGCAATCACAAGTTCATGTTTGTTTGCTTCTTTAAGAACTTTATAAAAAGTTCTACTACAAAGAGCACAACTAGCTGATCTACTGTGTTTCCCTGTTTTTTGTAAAGGAAGCTTACAGAGCTTGTAGAAAAATTACCACCAGACAGCAAGAAGCCCTGTGTCTCCAGTTACATGTTTCTCATTCCACTGAGGTGATGAGTCGTTATGAAGATATTTTTACAGTAGCAGGAAAATTCTTCTTGATAATACAATGTTCTAAACCGAAATCCTTTCAACAGTATTAATAGCTTACATTTACAGGTAGGTAACTAAAGGGTAGTAGGGAGTTGTATACACTTACATCCTTGATTTTCTCAGAAGTAATAGGGTTATTTTGGCAATCAATTGCTCCTTCAGCTACAATGATAATATTCAGCCTTTTCTTTCGCGCACGGTTCTAAGGAAACAGAAAAGCAAAAGTCTCAAGTTAGAATTCTTAACAATCAACATCATAAAGCCATGATAATTTGTTCCACATTTGAAGGGTCTTTCTAAATAGGACTCTCTTGACCTCGCAAATGTTGTTGCTGCTGCTAACTCATGGTGACCCCATGGGTGCAGAGAACTGGTCCACAGGGTTATCCTGTCGTAATCTTTACAGAAGCAGATCATCAAGCCTTTTCTTCCGCAGCACTGCTGAGTGAGTTCAAGCCTCCAGTCTCTTAGGTTACAGCAGATAAGTGCAAACAAATCAGCCAGAGACCTTAACATCTTAAGTATAGTAGTGATTTCTAGTAATGTTAGATGAAAATAAAAGGTAGTTTTTTAAGTAGATAAGATGAGCAACGAGAGAGGAGGGTAGGTAGGGTATGTTTGTAGTTGCTATACAAAACCCACTGCCATTGAGTGAATTTTGATTTATAGTGACTATAAGACGGAGTGGCATCCACTTCTGTAATAGCTTGCCTTCGGAAACCCTATGAAGCCGGAGCAAGGATGAAAGTCACACAAGTGCTGAGGACTTTTGTTCATAGGGTCGCTATGAGTAGCCTATGACTCAACAGCATTTATCAACATCAACAACCTAAGACAGGGAAGAACTTCAGGGAGTTTCCAAAGCTGTAAATCTGTACAGAAGCATACTGCCTCAGTTTCCTCCCACAAAACAGCTGGTAGGTTTGAACTGCTGGCCTTTTAATTAACAGCCAAAAGTTTAACCACTGCACCACCAGGGCTCCTGCTGTTATTATGCTATCATTTATACATTGTTGTTGTTGTTGTGTACTACTGAGTCTGAACTGACCCATAGCTAACCCTCTGGAGGGTTTCTGAGAGTCAGAATAACTGCACTGGAGGAGACTGTCCACCCTTTTTAAAGGAAGCAAGGTGCCTTTGGGATTGCAATACAGCTTCTAGTCACTAGGCCACCAGAGTGAATACAGACTGTAAATTTTATATTACTCAGAATGTTCCGTTCTCAAGTAATGTGTTTAGCCGTAGTGGTAAAGACAGCATGGTACTGGTACAATGACAGACACATAGATCAATGGAATCGAATTGAGAATCCAGAGATCAACTGATCT